TATCAATACAAAATATGAAAGAAATATCAGAATTTGCAGAAAATATCTAAATAAAATTCAAAACAATGATTAAATACTTGAATTTTAATTGAAACAGAAATCAAACACTTTGATATAGATGGTAATTTTAATATATGAGAGGATTTCTTTCTTATTAACATGTTTATTGATAATCTATATACTGCTATCTGAAAGAGAGAAGTTGAGATAGAAGATAAGAAGAATTTCTTTTTCACAGATGTGGTTAATGATTTCTGTTCTGAATATTATAAAAAAGATATAGCAAGTCAGAACCACTTCTGTTCAACTTTGTTATTTTTAATGACAGACAAACAGAACAATCAACATTCAGAATCTATGTTTATAGTTTGAAATATTTTTGAATCAAATGTTACTATCTCAATTCAAGTCAGAGATTAGAAGAATGGAAGAAGAATGAGCAATGATGTAAAAAGATGAATAAAACACTCAAAAATGAAGATATCAAGAAGAAGATGGATGCAGCGATAATTAAAATAGCTGCTTTTAATATTGAAATAATAGAATAGACATTAGAAGAAATGATTCTTCTAAGAACAAGTAAAGAATCTATCAATCATTTTATTAATCATTCTACTGATCAATCTTTGAACATTTCTGATATTGTATCTATCAACCGATTGACGAGATGTCTAAATATGAATATCACGAGCTCTTCTTTCAATCAACACCTCTATTTTCAAGATTTCTGAATATTTGATATTGATTCTAAGTGACATATCTGTAATAATCGATCTAGATTTTTAACATACAAACTGTCAGAAGAGTAAGTTTACACTGAAGATTTGACAACAAAAGTTTTGAAATATAAAACTGTTTGAATCTACATAATTAATGCTGCAGGCAAGCAGTTCAGAGTAATTCTTAGAAACATTGTATACATTTCACTATCTCACATCAATCTAATCGCTTGGAAACTCTGTTATCATATAGAAGGAATCTATCTCAATGACGAATGTTTAAATTGTGAAGAATTAGCAATGATTCAATCTTCACTCATATAGAAGTATACAGCGGATTGCTGACTACTGAATATCATAGAATTAATGAGAACATTTTAATGTTTGTTAATATTATCTCATCTAACAATTCAGTAAAATCTGTGAGAATATTTCAATCAGAATTTTTCAAAATTCATCGATCTCAGTTATCTGACTCATCTCAACATTGAAATGATATCAACAAGTATCTCTATTATGATGAATGAATTAATGTTGTCAAATGAGAATGAAACTTTATAACTCAGTAAAATATCTATGAAATAGTTAATAAACCTTTGAAAAATACCTCAGTGATTTCATTACATTAAATGTTTATTTACAAATTTGATGATGATGATTATCTTATCAAATTTAAAGTTTATATTTGCATCTGAAATGATTTATAATCAGTATCTGATTTAAATATCAAAGCTCACACTCTAACTGTAAGAATCTTTCATATCTTACTTGCTATTATCAACATCTTTATTTTGATGCTGAGCAATTGAATGATGTTAACATCTTTGTGAACAGCTCATTTGATGAGCTAGTCTATGTTGAATTATCAGATGATTGATGGAAGTTGAAGAGAGTATGAAATTTCAAGAAGAACAATTACATTTTATATTTATTATATATTTTATCTAAGAAAATCATCTCTTCTATAGCTTGAAGAACTATCTACTATTTTTAAACAATTAAACTTCATTTTAATCTCTGAAAATAAATGTTTATTCATCAATAAATGAATAATTATATTTTTTTATATTGATGATATTGCTGTGGTATCTTACTCTAATGATAGAGAGGAAAAAAATCAGTTGATTAAAGATCTTGAAAATACATATAAATTCTGACAGATGAAAAACTTTGAATGATTTTTTAATATGAGAATTACTAAAGATCAGAGCTCTAAGAAGTTATGACTTTATCAAGATATTTATATTGATAAATTAATTGATACTTATTATTTCACTCATACTTACAAAGTATGAACACCTCTATCTAGCATTCCACTAACATCTTATCAAGAAACCGCATCATCAGAGAATATTCACTATTATCAATGATGAATTGAATTCTGTATCTACACTGCAGTGATGATTAGATCAGATATTGCATACATAATTGACAAGTTTATAATTTATATGATCAATTCTTCTAGGCATCATTTTGCAGAGATAGATTGTGTTATCATCTATTTTTAAGATTTGAAGAATCTAATGATTGAATATAGTGTATCTGATAGTGATGGCTTATCAATGAATGTAGTTGAAGTAGCTAGTAATACCTCCTTCACAGATAATTCAGAAAAAAAATCAACAGAAGATTACATCTTCAAACTTTTTGAAAAATTTATTGATTGAAAGTTAAAAAGGCAGAGAATAATAACAACTTCCACCACTGAAGCTGAATTACTAGCTATATCACAGGCAGGCAAAGAGTCAATCTAATAAAAACAATTCTTTAATTATTTGAGATTCAATTTAGAGCACAAGATTTCAATTCAATGCAACAATCAACAAACAGTTGGCATTCTTATTAAAGAAGATTCTTTCATCACAATCAAATTACACCACGTTGATATTTACGGCAACTGGTTGTGAGAATGGATACAATCCGGCGATATCTCGATACAATGAACGCTTACAACCAGCATGCCAGCGGACGGGTTGACTAAGCCATTATCATAACAGAAGCAGAGGGAATTTATCAAACAAATGAAATTAATTGATATAATTGATTTTGTCAATAAAATAATAAAATAAAGTATAAAAACTCAATGAGTTTGAACAGAAGAAATTCAATATTTTCATATATTTTTTTATCTATCTGTTTCATTCTATAATCACTATGTCTTCTATATTCTTTTCTATTCTGATAATTTATTCAGCTTTATTACTGATATTATTCTGCTGAAGGGGGTATGTCAGAAGTGATATATAATATCTCAGATTTTACTGATTATATTAGCAAGAATTTTTTATTGTGATAATATTGGAAATCAAATAAATGTTCTGATAGATATTAGCACTGCCTCTATCATATGTTCAAGCATCTTCTTTCTTATAAATACTGCCTGGATATCATGTAATTACTGGAGTTAATATAAGAAATTTAATTATTCTTTTGATATTCAGTATTTAAGTCAATATTCAAACTTTATCTAGTTTCAACATGCTTTCTTTTTTATAAAAATCCTTTTCATACAATCTTTTCTTTTGATCTTCTTTCTCTTTTTTTCTTTTCTTAATCAATTTATAAACTGTATTAGAATAATGCTAGTCATTAATCAAAGTACGTCTTTTATAATTATCAAACAAATAGATGTCAAATCATCAAATTCTCTCACAGACAGATGCAAATAAATGAAGTTTTCATTATTAAAAATGTCAATCACAAAATCACAATCTGTAAAGTGAATGAGATGAAAAAGACATTTAATAAAAATATTCAATTGATTGGAATCAAATCTACAAAATCTACAACCACTCAATCACAATAAGATAATTCTATAGAATCTCAATCTACAATGAATTCTACATCTTTTAATGAGTATATAGATAATCTTTATGTTATAGATAGATGTGGTGGTGGTTATTAATTAATTTTTGAAGATTGCTATATTCAAAATATTTTCCGTACGGTGTGGTTTTCCATACACTGTGGCGCACTCACTAAATACTGGTAGTGAGTTGCGTTTGGCATGGTTAGAAACCAACAATGCCTTTGAGCTGCGGCCACTTCTAGATATTTAGTTGGGTTTTCACTCCTCCAGGAGATTTGCTGGGGTCCATATTTCACCTTTAAAGTAGATCATGTAGCTGATTTAGTAAGCTGTCAAAAAGTGGACTGGGCGTAGTTAAGAGAATCAACTGGACAGGTTAAAACGTATGCATGGAGCAAGCTAATATAATCGCCAGAACAGAGAAAGTCATTAATTCTATTAAGTTTCAATCAGAGCTATCGTATTGTCATACGATTTGATAATAGAGTCATATAACCTTTGTGGGTTTTGCAGTATTCCAACAATTAAGTCCTTCCCTTCCGTAAGGAAACAGAACCCCTTGTATGGTTCTGCAACAGAAACTTCTGTAAAAGATACTCAAATCCATCAACTTCCATGTATCGGATCTTATAAATTCTGATATATCAATCTCTCAGCATATTGGTCTTTTGGAGATGATTCTGTCTGTCTCCTGTCTCTGATAGCTCATTAAATTTTTTCTCCACCTGTGGACAGGACATTTATGTCCGAATGAATATAAAAACTATTTACCCAAGATTATATTAATAGATATGATTGATATTAAGCAGCATCTTGATCATCATGAACTTCATTGTACTGATCTTGTGCTGTGCACTACTTCACTCACTTTGAACTTCTTTAACAAGATTTAGATTGATTATTATTAGTATTCTTCTTCCTTCTGTGGGATCCTCCGATCGGCTTAAAAGGTTTGGTCAGGTTTCACATCTGTGCATTGCTTTGTAAGTAAACATCTGAGTCTAGGGCGTGGATCGACTCAGAGACCAGGAACAATTTCTTTTAAACCACCTGACTCAAAAATCAAGGGACATAATGGGAGGGAAGTGATACAATGTGTGACATTGTGCTGCGGTACGACGCATGGGTGCTGTATGGAGGAAATAGGGCCATAAAGGCGGCTCGAGAAGTTGAGGTATCTGATATTATTTATTGAGGTTCTATTTCATACATTGGTATCCGTACAAATAGGAAAGAGATATTATCAAGGAGCGGGGCGTTTCGACAGATATTACCATGTGTGAAAAGAAGGACATCGGCATTGCGACGATGATTAGCAGGAGGAATAAACGGGAGAGGGCAATAATTCTTCTAATTTCATTTTCAGGAACCAGACCCTGTAGTCAATGACATTAGCTGATGACATTGGAAAGAAAGTACCCTGTTGGGGATTCTTCTTGGACTGCTCCATAGTAACGGGAGTATGAACATGTTCACACGGCAACGGGGAATGCAAGAGATAATTCTGAAAGTGAACGGGCGGCTTCCTTCTCAATAGCTTGATTCATTGGTAAAGGCGGCAAGCCAACCTGCTGTCGAGTCCATGACATCGCCTCACGCCCTTCTGGAATCTGGGATATTGGAAAATGCTCCAAAATCCCCGAAACTTCTTCTACAAGCTTTCTCCCCGCCGGACCCACCCACCATGACATGTAGTCTCGACCAGCTCTATCCAGGAGAACACCAAGATACATAAGCATGAATAATGCCATTGGCTCCCGTTTCTTGATTGCTCCAATGTAATCTCGGCCGCCGATGGGGATCATTGACAAAAAGTAACTCTTAATGCGACCGCAGGAGTCTTCTGCGAAGCAGTATTTTAGCTGCGCAATGGTAATCATATATTCCTCACTGGCCAAAGGGATTTCCTCTCCTGAAAAAATGGCCGTGTGGCTTGAGGCAGGAACGCGAATCTGGCGACTGACGATGGAAAGCTTCTGCAAGGCAGCAAGTGTGTCTTGGTCCAAGATTTCCATAGATAATGGCTTGTAGTAGAGTATGTCGCGGGATGAGCAGGGGGCGTCTGTTAGCCACTTAAAGTTAAATGCCGCGATGTTACAGGCGCCAAGCATAAGGCTGAAGATGACGTCTACGCGTTCTAGCATGGTCTGCTGCCTGTTAGGAAGGACGAATTGCATGAGTGCTGAAAGCGCTGCGAGGTGGTAGAACAAATGGAGATTGTCCTCGTTGATATATTCGAGCTGGGAGCGGAACCCGGCGCTGGCTTTGTTGCTGTACTCTAAGGCTGCGCAGAGGTAGGTAGCAGACTCGAATTCGTTTGAGGATAGAGCCAGGTCAACTGCAGCTGCCGCGAGAAGACTATTCATGATGTAGTCATCTTTCAAAGCTGCGCGGGGGAGTAATATTTGCATATATGGTTCATCTGCGGGGATGCTGTATAATCCCATCCAAGTCCTCGTCGTCCATCTATGCAAAAGTTCCATTTCCAACAATCTATTTGATTCACTTGTACTGGTAAAAGCCACAGGAGAGGCAGAAGGGCGGAGCGTCAAGGGGGACTCTGAGGACGTTCTTGAAAAGAATCCTGACTGTAAGCCAGAAGCTTCATCAACCAACTTTTTCCGGGAATTGCTCGTCGAATCGCCTTTAGAGCTCCTTACTAGCGCCGGCAGCGTCAACTTCTTTCTGGTAACTCTTGGCTTAGTCTCTGGCGACTGATAGACACAGTCAGTCTTCCGCACAACGCAGTTTGCACAGGACGGGCCTTGTTCATCGCACTATTTAGATTACGATTAGCGACTCTTACCAGCAACATCGTAAGATTCCACCATGCAGATGACGGGGATAGGAATCCAATCGTCATATACACACCTTTACGTGTCTCCTTTTGCAATTCAAGCACCCTCTGCGCGACTTGTTATGAGGTCTGCATGGCAAATTGCGGCCACTAACTACCAGTACATAGAAACGTGCTTCCAGATAGAGAATTTCAGGATCGAAAGAAGCTCTCTGGGTTTTTAAACGCAAGAAACCTGGAGTATACAGGTGCCTCATCGTCACAGCACACAAGATCTGACAGGGCTGAATTTAGCTAGGAAGCCAAGAAGCAGCGGTGGCTCAAGTTTGGAGCAAATCAAAAGCAAGGAACCACAACGGATCTGTCCTCCCAGCCAGTGATCAACCATTCCTGCATCGGCTGTTGGCACTCAGCCCCATAGCCACCACACGAGGCGGAATTGGGCTGGCCTATCCGCCCCAAAAACGGCACAGAGTACAGCGAATGCAACTCAACTAGATAATCCATCAGCATGTTTTCCGGGTTTAGGGGACCGGCCCCCAAGTGCATGCATCTCATCGACTAATAAAGCAACAGTCATGCCCAAAGTATTAACAGACAAGCCAACAGAATCTTCAGAGTTAAGACATTGACTGTTGCAGATAATGGATACCAGCAGCCCATTTTTGCTTCATTGAACGGAGTCCATACGGGCTGGAGGTTATGATCAGAAGTTGAAATTTCCTCTTTGGGTAAATTTAGGGTTACTGTCCCGGTTTGGACAAGCTCGTAAAGCGGCGCGCTTGTTGGGTTATCTCGATTGAAAGTATCCGTAGCGTGGGGTGATCTATACGAAATACGCAAATACGCCCTCGGGATGAACCATGACAACGTCCAACATTCCATGGCAAACGGCGATTTATACAGGCAGCCCATTTTTATCGCACTCCCGCTACTATCAATCTAGCTTAATTGGTGCTGGAAAAACATGCCAATTCTGGATTCCAGGGTGGACATTTCGGCCCGAGCGGGAGGCGAAGGGCTCCAAGCTACCGCCACACACTCGGCGCAGGTGGGGACAATGGCATGCGAATTCTATAAGAGCCCCAAACCCCTCAGTTGGGACGCTCGTGATTATTTGGAATTTCCATCTTGTTCTGCTCCGTACTCAATTGCCTGACTCAATTGTGGTATTGGTTCCTATTTCCCCTTGTCTCAGTTTTCCAAGAGCCCCTTCCTACGTCAGTTACTAGTATATGTGCGAAAGTACCGAGAATGATCCCACGGCTGTGAAGCTCAACCAAGGCCATGGAGCTGGAAACCCTTCAATTCCCCTCCCCGGCTGTGAGCACGAAAGGCAACGGCGTTACGCTGTCGAGAAACGAGCCCGCGGGTGCAGCTTCATTCCCACAGAGCTTCCCCCGTAATACGTTTGAAGACACAACGCCTTCAATAACGACCAGCCCCTCGGAGCGTTGGAACTATCCAAAACGCAACTGTTTTCGTTTCCTAGCGGCCAATTACAGCTTTATAGTATTGGGAATCAATGATGCAGCCTACGGTGTAAGTTAGCAGCATCTATGTATGAAAGAATGTATATACAGATATCATTGTGCGAGAGAGAAAAAAAATCAGGAACAACAAAAGCTTAGAAGAAGTGCTAACTATATTGCCAACCAAAACAGGCTCTTATTCCATATGTAAGACTGTGAACCCATTCCACCAGACATACCCCCAGTTCAAAAAGGAACAATCAGCCAAAGAAAGGGAGGGAGGGAGAGAGGGAAAAGATATTTATACTTACACACATCCTATTTATTAGCTAGAAACTTATTATCACGTTACCTACACAGTCATATCGCTAGTATTTTTATCCCCTCTGGTAGGATATATCACGTCGGCCATATTGAACAATATGTTACATATGCGCTTTGGGCAACGCGGCCCTGCTCTTTTGGGACCTGCCAGCCATGTCATTGCCTATGTCATTGTCTGCCTTCACCCTCCGTATCCGGTCCTAATCATTGCCTTTATTATTGCTGGCTTCGCAAATGGCCTGTCAGACGCCGCATGGAACGCGTGGGTGGGCTCAATGGCAAATGCCAATGAACTTCTAGGACTGTTACACGGCTCTTATGGCCTAGGGGCATTACTGGCACCGACAATCGCTACATCCCTCATCACAAAAGCGGGCTGGCAGTGGTTTGAGTTCTATTACCTTGTTACTGGAAGCGCCTTTTTGGAACTGGTTTTTCTCGGGGCCTCATTCTGGAATTCGACAGGGGCCCTGTACCGCGAGACACACCAGCGTAGCGAGGTAAGCCACAGCGCGAGGGCCATTCCCTCCGATGAAGAACGACCACAGGTCACGAGGAAAGATATTATCGTCAGCAAGATCTTCGGCAACAGCCGCACAGCTGAGGCTGTAAGGAACAAAATAACTTGGATCTGTGCATTCTTCCTGATCGCCTATGTTGGGATCGAGGTTGCCCTGGGTGGGTGGATCGTCACGTTCATGATTCGCGTTCGCCATGCATCAAACTTTGCATCCGGCATGGCGTCGACTGGGCTCTGGGCCGGTATCACTGTTGGGCGTGTGGTTCTCGGCTTCGTAACCCCTCGATTATTTAAGTCTGAAAAGCATGCCGTGACTGTATATCTGGGAGCCTCTGTGGTCCTCGAGCTTCTCTTTTGGCTGATTCCCCAATTCATCGTTTCTGCGTTGATGGCTGCTTTCCTTGGGTTCTTTCTGGGGCCCCTGTTTCCAGCAGCCGTGATCGCTGCGACGAAGTTGCTCCCGAAACATCTACATGTCAGTGCTATCGGCTTCGCGGCCGCCATTGGTGCATCTGGGGCTACAATCTTGCCCTTCGCGGTCGGTGCCATCGCCCAATTCAAGGGAGTGCAAGTCTTGCAACCGATTGTGCTCGCAATGCTTGTTGTTGACGGGGGAATTTGGCTGTGCCTGCCCAGTCTTTCGAAGAAAAAACAATGAATCTACTTCGAGCGGCTCCTTTAATATCATCAGGAGTAGGGGCAGCTCTCTTGGTCTTATAAACGATTTTTCGTTGTTTTTTACTCCTGTTTTTTGTTTTGTGCTTAGGTTCTTGGGTGCATATCGTCATTCGGAACATCTTTCACGTTTTTACTACAGCCTAACCAATCAGCCTGGCTACGGTGCCCTTATCAAAGAAAGAAAGCGATTATTTGGATGACAGGAATGTGGCAATACCTTGAATTTTGGAAGTTGTGAAAATTGATGCAAAACATTTCCTCTGGTGTGTTGGTTACTAGCAATTCTAAGGTATTTCTGAGAAAGTATAGATCCAATTCGTACTTAGCATATTTGGATAGTATCTAAGAATGTATCGATTTCCCTTTGATATTTATCTTTTTGTATTTTCTTGGCGTGGATAAAGTATATTCTGGTAGCGCCTTTTAGGTCAAAGAATGATTGATGTTCAGCAAACACCGCCACACTGTGGACTGTTCAGGAAGAAAAAAAAACTATTCACATATCTTTATGTATTGCAAATGGTTCTCGCGGAGAAGAGAGGCTACCATGATCATACTTAGATGAAGTTGAAAAGCATTTCCGTTTGGCAAATGGAGTCATCAAACCCTGCTCTTCTCAGCGGAACACCCTCGGATGAGGACATTTACACTGGGAACAACAATGACAATGTTGATAATCGGGATGCTTCCAGCATCTACAGAGGAGGAATCCCTACGTCTGGCCCTCCAGTGAACAAATTCCATAAGTCTTCGCCTCGACCAAGGAATATCTCCAACCCGTTACAAACCGGAATACTCAACTATCTCAAGAGCCAGCACCACCAGTACAACCACTGTTTGCCCACACATTTCCATCCAATTTCTCCGCAATCACCATCGATCCCCCTCCCTAAAAGATTCACAGTTTACACACCTCTCCTCCTGCTTCCGTCAAATACATTCTCCTGGCCACCCGAATGGGCGATACTTTACAATACATTTTCTAGCGCACAGCGCCAGGAACTTTACGCATGCATAGTTGCATCCTTCGCGCCTATGGGCGTCACGCACATCGCGATAAATGCGCCCATATCTCCAACAATTGCTACTGGCATTGACAATCGAATTCGAAGTCCGACGGGGTTGGCACCTTTGTATGGGGATTTTGGAGAGGCTAGTGATCATGTAGGGGGAGAAGCAGGGAGAGGGGAGGTATGCGAAGATATAGAAGAAAAAGAAGCTAGCCCTTCGGAAACGGCTTTGCAGTCTGCGTTGTGGGTTCGCGCGGTGCAGAATCGCGGCATCGTACAGATTTGGGCACCATTTCATTCTATGTTCAGTCGTGGGAATGTTGTGGAGAAGGCGAGGATTTTGGGGATTGAGTCTCAGTTTGAGGGGCTTGGTGATGGCTACGATGATAGTGGGAAGCGACTGTTGGGCCAGCGAACGGGGGATATTGCGGTGGTCGATATGTATGCTGGGATTGGCTACTTCGTGTTTTCGTACCTGAAGAGAGGGGTCGGGCGGGTGTTGGGTTGGGAGATTAATGGGTGGTCGATTGAAGGATTGTGTAGGGGATGTAAGGAAAATGGATGGGGGGTTAAAGTGGTCAAGGTCGACAAGAAGACGGGCGAGATAGAAGGGGGTATTGACGGGTTAGCCACGGGATTGAGAGAGGAGGATCGTGTGGTAATTTTCCATGGTGATAACAAGTTTGCAACAGATGTGATAAGAGCTTTGGAAGAGGCAATGCAGCGGACGAGGACATGGAAACGCATCCGCCATGTTAATCTTGGATTATTGCCGAGTTCTAAGCCGTCATGGGAAGGGGCTGTGAAGGTTCTGGATACAGAGGCTGGAGGCTGGATCCATGTTCACGAAAATGTGGATGTAAAGGGTATCGGGATGATGGAGGAGGGTATTGCTAAAGAGATCAGTTCTCTGCTCAGCTCTTCTAGAGGAAGTGCACAGCTTCCGCCGCCATCACAACCCTTTATTCCTGCAGCGAAGTGTATCCATGTGGAAAGAGTTAAAACCTATGCCCCGGGCGTGATGCATTGCGTTTTTGACATCTACATACCGCCTTCACCAAGCGGGTTGGAATTGAGCAACAACATATTAGCCTGAGCTACATAAGTGACCCGCGGGACACAAATTCGCGGTAATAAATCTATAATTCTCCAATTCCCTCTAGTTGATGCCGAGTATGTTCAATAAAAAACAAGGCAACTCAATAACATACAAACATGAGAATAATATATACAGAAACGCTCGTTCATAGCAACATCACAAACATGTTCATTCGTATGCTCTTAAACAAACATTTATGCGTTTCAAACATGACGGCCGAGGTAATAACAGCACTGATACAAGAGGATAGGAAAGCACAGAATATACGATGAAGTATAGCGTAAAACGGAGGGTTGGACGTCATCTTGCCGAGGGGCTCTTGAGGAACTTGACCGGAATGTTAGCCTCCACAATGGGCATTTTTTGGAGGTTTGCCAGTCGAATCTGAGCATCTTCCGCATGGTCGTGTTGCCGAAAATGTTCGATATCTTCGGGATGCGTTAGATCTTCCTCCGTTGCCCCATCGCCGTGGTATTTTTCAAAATGGTGTATTTCATATTCATATTCCAAGTCACCATGATGTCCCGGTCCCGTGCCAAAGTCTGGTAGCTTCTTTCCCTCACGGGACAGGCGCATCCATTCGTGTTGCGATATAACCCCAGTTTTCTGTGGATCGAAGATACTGAATATTTCCTTGAGGATTTGTTGTTTGCGTTCTTCTGTTAGGTTGGTATTGGAGTTGTCATCAAGTCCATAGGTTCTGCGAACTTCCTCCACTGTCCATACCCCCGAGTTGTCGTAGTCGTGAAGCAAAAAAAAGGAGCCCGGGTCAAAGTTTGAGATGTGATGTTCCTCTAAATCCCTCACTGTCAGCAAACTCTCTGCAAACTTTGGCGCATCATGGTTACCCCTTACCTAGCATATGCCTTGTAGCCCAGTCCTCCACATCACCAATATTTTCGTGTGAGCCATGCGCGAGACATAACCTTGTCACTGCTAGGAACGCCACTAGTAACGCAATCATGTTGCTGTCGCAAGAATCCCGCAGCGAAGCTCTGCAGTTGAAGCTATTATGTGGAGGCAGGGTTTGTTGTCTCGATCTTGCCTTGTGCTTTGGGGATAAAACAGACCAATGGATGATGCATACTAGTGCGCATACTAGTATACAATAGGCACAGTTACGAATGTGTGCTCTAGGACAGGAGGCGTGGAAATGCTCGAAACTTGACTTTGATGGGAATCTCAGTGCCAAGAAGCTATGGGACTCCATAGGCTCTTATGCATTCGACAGCCAATATGGGCATTAAACCTCTCGATCCGCCCCTACTGCTTCATGGGCCTGTCAATTTGAATGTTACCGTATAAATTTCTCCAAGCCTCCGTAGCTATGAGTGAATTGAGCTTACAGACCTCACTTGATGCCGCCTAACATCAACTATTTTTAAAGCACACATACTACGGAATCAGTCAATGATCATCGAGTCAAATATCAAGAAAATTAGTGACTAGATATTACACCACCTAATCGATATCCAGATCCTCCTCGAGACGTGTTTACGGAGAATGTTAATATTTAGTTCTGTAAACCATGCAGAGAAAAATGGGACAGGAAAGTAGCACCAGCTGGACGTTCATCTAGCCCAGATCTGCTGCACCTGATTACATGACCTGGTAGCACCGCTGGCTGGGAGATTTTTTGGGTGTTTGATGGTCTACTGCGTAAGGCATGAACCGGGCCGTGGCATTGGTTCCGGGTACAGCTCACAAGGTCAAGGGAGATGGTAAAAAGAAAGCCGGGTCAATAGCAACCATGCCAAAACATGGTTTAAAACGATCAACTAGCCCACAGGCACGCCATCACGCAAGCCATCTAGCCTCAGTGCTATGATACGGCTCAACTCCACTGACCAGTATTCCCTCGTCCATGTTTCTTGCATGTGGCGGATAATACAACCGATATATTCCCCGCAACCCTGCGCTCCAGAATGAGAGTGATTGCGTAGTGGAGGCCAAAAAGTTTCGCTGACGTAGGGTCGATTGTGTGGTTGGCCAGGAAGGGCAAGACTATATTCTTAGGGAGGCCGAAGACGCCGAGGGTTATCCCCGCGCACCTATAGATTTGGCTGTCTCCCTCGGGGCTGTCTCCGGATATAGGTCAAAATGTGTGTAGCATCATATTTCGGGGTATAACATTTCCCAGACAGCCGAAGTTGGTTCCCTCGATAAGACGAACTGCACGAGGATCGGGCATGTCTAGAACCAAGAAGGGCATTTTTCTTGGATTCAGGCTAGTTTCACAGATTGCAGGTAAATATAGAATTATTCATTTGCTGAGGAGAGTAACTAGCCGTGGGTGCACACCCACCGTCTTTGCCGACATGAAGGTATGACGAATCATATGAGCGATCTCCGGGTCAGAGAAATGTTGTGAACAAGAGATAAGTGGTTCGCCATCGCCATCCTTGTAGTTCATGCGCTCCATTTTCTCGCTGGCGATAGCTCCATCAACATTGAACGGGTGTACTAGCGACATTGTCGAACATAGGGGCTGACAATGATGCCGGGCTTGGTTGTGCTGCCTTCCTTGCAATAGTCTCAAATGCTGCACAGGAAAAAAAAATTCTGAAAAGGGTGCTTCACGAATGAGCCTATAATGGTTTTATATCATCAATGTGATACACGTCATGGTCAGCAAAGAGGAAGACGGGCGCTGAACGGTGTTCTTTGAACTGGCATGCTTTTATATGAAGCGCAAAAGGATTACATGCTTGTAGGGGCTGGAGTGCTACTCTACGCTTCGTAGAGTCTGCAGCTGAAAACTTGACTACAGTAAATCGAGGATGTCCTTAGGGATGCGAAGTGGTGGAGAACTGGGCGATGAACAGAGGTGGGACAACGTTTTTCCAGCCAAGTCTCTAGTGAACAAGCCCGCAATGTCCACGAACTCCGACATCACCATCCGCAAATACCAGCCTTCCGTCGGTATCTCTCGACAGCGCTCCTCTCAATGCTGCTCGGTTGCACCCCTCCTGCCCGCTGCCTCTGATACTACGACAGGGGCAACGTCAACTGGTCTACTTGACACGATAAGGTGGGAACTCTACCCAGAGAACGACTTTCGATTAACCTACCTTGCCCTCAAATTTCTCTAAATTCCCCTTCTCTCCATTTTCCTGTCCATCAATTATGCCACAATAATGCAAGGTTTTTGGTCCAGAACTGCCCTTTCTGGGTCATGTCGATGTGTTTCTTGCCTGCGCAGCAGCTCCAATGCCGTTGCTGGACAAGCTAGCACGGCTGCCAGTCGGCGGAGGCTCTACATCGGCAACTCCGTCACACTCCTCTACTCCGCCATTTTTGCGACTGCCATAATTTTTGACGCAGATGTGAAAACCAAACGACGGACCGAGTTAGAAAAGAAAATTAAGGCTGTGAAAGAGGAGGTGGAGGAATTGCGGATTGAGGAAGCTCGTATCCTGAATGGGCTCGCTGATCGGAGAAAATTGCGGCAACTTCCTCTTCCGTTGCAAAGAAGGCAATATAGCACAGTTGCCGCAACCGCCACAAATGGTTCTGCGTCAGTTGGGAAATATTGGGACGCGAACACACTTTCAATTGAACGATTAGAAAATAAGGAGTCCTGTGCGTTTAAAGACCGACCCGAAATGATCACCGACTTTTTTGAGAAAGGGTCTGCCAAGAAGAGAGACCCAACGGACGAAGATGAACGTGTTCGGAGACAGTATGACTTAGCAGGGCAAGATGTTTTGCGAGAAAGGGCTATCCAGCTCCTTGCAATACGGCAACTCGCCATAAAGTTGCTCCTTCGGCCCAGCATTGCGCATTCTTATGGGGAGGTGGTGGCAGATTATGGAGAAGAGTTCGACCATCCGAAATTCAATACACAAGATTATCTTGTCGAATTGCACAGGATAAAAAGACGGATCACTCGCCTGAGGTTTCGGAAAGACGAATCATACGATGATCTCGTGAAAAACATAACGATTCAAGAGCAATCAGCCCTCCAGCAAGAAAGGCAGGAATTGCACAATAACCTCCAAGCGGCTTTTGAATCATATAATCGAAAAGCCCTTTCCCTCCAGCGATTACTATTGATCACCTCTGAGAATTTACTGGCTTCGGAAGAACCAATTTTGCCGCAGACTGTTGAGCTTATGATCACGCAATTTACACGATCCAAGCAAAACGACCTTGTGAAGATGGTCATCGACTCGCTGTTTCCAAACAGGATTAGGATGACTCCCCCTGTCATTGTTTCTGCGATCAACTTTTTCAACAAAACCAAGGACCTCTTTGGGTTCGACGGTTTCTTACGTTTACTTCAAGGGGACAGTTTTCCTGTGAATATACCTGTTTTGTGGGAAACAGTTCGTGTTGGAGATGTTCAGGTTGCGCTTCCACCAAAGCCTCGCCACCCATTTGTGATGAATGCTCTCATTTCTGCCAGTCTTAGTTTCAATCAGCCCCAAAACGCTGACGCTTACCTCCATATCCTTCGAGAATCTGGATACAATGAAGGAGCTCAGGTTTTGGGTTCTTATCTTCGATTCTACACCGTATCGCCAAACTGGAGAAAGGGTGGCTATGTCTTATTGCGATCTGTCGCTTTTATTATGTCTACGAAAGCTCATTTTGGAAACGCAATTAACCGACTAATCCTGTATATGGTAGCCTTCTGCAATTCCTGCGGAAAACATGAATTGTCTGAGGCTATAGTCAAAGCTGCCGTTGATACTGGGATTGATTGGAGGCCCAGTTACAATAAGAGAGATCTTCGGAGTTCAGTCAAAACCGCTTTAAAGCAGTGGAATACGGCTGCTGAGCGCGCTTCGACAGATATTCCCGTCCATAGGCCTTTAGGTCAGAAATGCTATGAGTTCGCAAAACAAATAGAGCAAATGGTTCGCGTGACGATCGGGTATAGTGCAAATGCGCCATCGCATAACCCTCCGCAATCCCGAGAACGCGTCGACAGGAGTTTCGATGTGCGACAGGCAGGTCAGATTTATGAATCACAGGATCGTGAGCCAATCACCGGCGGCAGCTATTATCTTCATGATGAGTCACGTTCTTTCAAATCGAAGCAAGCTGTAGAATTGACGCGTCGTAAAGCCGAGCATGTTCAGTTCCAGAAGAACCAGCCCGATGAGGAAGAAGCTGAAGGGAATATTGTGAGTTTCTTTGTGAAGAAACCTGAAGAAGGATGTATAAAAGATTCATCGTCCGCCGAAGAGATAATAAGAAGACGTTTCCATGATGACTGCCGGTCTTTGTTCTATTCGTTGGAAGTGTCTAAAAGGGCCATTCTTGACCTCCATCGGGAACTAAATGAGTATGAGCTTTGTATTCATGCTTCGGAAGTACCAGCCGAAAAGGTTAAAGAGGAACTGTCCCCGGAGGCATGCGGGTCGTTGTTCTATTCGCTAGCGATCTCTCAAAAAACCATTAGAGACTTACAGCGTGAAGTAGATGAATATGGCCTTCACATTCATACTTCAGAATTGCCAATCGAGGGTAAAGCTGAGCTTCTGGAGACCTGATGTCTTGATTGTCTCATGTGTGAAACGTTCAAGGTTGCGCATTTGCGTGGCATGCCTAACCATCTTTGACAACAGCATATCTCTGATTTGTGTATAATTGATATGATGAATGCAATGATCACGTTGGATCTTGAAATTCTCTTTTTTTCGAACACAACCCGATTGCGAACGTTTAACGACCTCAAAGATAACTGCATCAAGCAATATCCTCGTTTAGGTGACCAAATCTGGCAACAACGATTGTGAAATCGAGACCCGTGAGGACTCCTCAATTTGCCACGTCCGAACAAAGGGTGAACATGGACCTTGCCTTTCCTCCACGAAACCGTTGTTAAAACAGCCGGACCGTAGTATTTCCAGTGCTCCCTATATATACCCTTTACGGGCAGATTTTTAAATCTTCGATCTCCGCTGCCTTCGTCAGGCTCTCCATGTCTTCCCTTTTGAGCGTGTTCTAAAATATAAAGCCTTGTGCATGTACTTCTTTACTTGACATACCCTTCTCCACCTTCACATGTCACTATGTTGCCGCGATTTATTACTTCAAAACCCAGTCAAAGTTAACCTGGGCCCATTGCAATCTCGTTCAGAGTATGGTGGGCAAATGACATTTTTCCTTTTCATATTTCTTGTATATATAGGGAATTTTGCCTGTTGGTATATGCATGTATGATAGGTGGGGAGTAGTGAATCTATCTCTCGATAGACACAATTCGAATATACTTTTTTTCACTTCCGGAGAAGTTTACATGGCCCCACCTAGCGAGCGAGAGATTTCTTATCGGTATCTAGGAATTTAATATATCCGAAAGGAAGGTTGAGTGAGGCATCTTTCAAATGGTGATTTTCTGCCCCAACCAGGGAATACAAGTCAATAGGATTTCTCACCTTGCCAGTTACATGAAAGGACGACAATCTAAACAATTCCTTTTGCTTTCCATTTCTATGTTACAATGTATAGGGTAAGTAGGAACAAATAGTGTTCGATAGCAAAAGGATTCTATTTATCTTTTAGTGCATACGCCGACTGTGGACTCGGGAATGAAGAAAGGACAAATTTAGTGACGAAAGGTGTTACACAGCTCTAGCAGAATGTTCATCGAGAATCGAAACCACGAAACAGGAAATGAGAGAAGAAAAAGTGGCAGAAATAGGAGTGCAGGATAATAGCCTCCAAAATGGAAAATTTGCTTGAGATAAGGCTCTTTGAAAACTGGCAGTATATCCATCATTCAACGATCTCCCTTTTTCTTCTCGTCATCTAAACGGATAAACAGGGGAATTAACCCAATCGTGGGCGCCACGTCGTGTCAACAACGTACGACACTTGTATGTATGAGGGAAAGGGGAAAAGAAATAAAGGGATAGGGAGGAATATGGGCCCCGGGGGATAACAGGATCTAAGCTTTGCCTTCTTAATGTCGTTTTCCTTTATCCGCGCGCATCTTCTCCTTTCGGGAAAGTCTTTCGGCAGCCCGAATTAAAGCGGAGCGAATCTCGCCTTTGGGGAAACTGGATATATCGTAGTAAACTGGGGCAATTTCCTATAAGAGAAACATTTTTAATTAGTGATAAGTTATGAGTGAGGAGAGGCGTGAGAAAGGGGCCCAGCCAAATGCCTGTCTAACAGAGCGAAAGTACTTACCAAAAGCCATTCCCCCTTCACAGCAGTCACTGTTCTTACATAGTTCTTTGTCGTGAGAACAAATTCATTATACAATACCCATTCCGCTTCATGCCCCAGGACACTACTAGGGTGCAGCAATACGGGCTCATTTGTTATCTTTGACAGTCCTGTAAAGATTCTTCCCTGACTCTCCTTCTTGGCAACCTGCATGAAGAAACCAGCCACAAGAGCACGGCGGATGTTTTCGTAATATTTCTTGTCTTCGAATGGGGTAGAAACAAGTTCGATTTCTTCCCGCTCCATGATACGTTGTAGCTGCTGTCGAACATTGTCGGCAGATTGAAGAGCACGGAGGGAAAGGAAGTGATCATGGCACCATTGTCGCGGGTTCTCTTGGGCGTCAGGACCCTTGAAAGCGTGGTAAGCGTTCAAGAGTGTAAGGTGGTCACCATCAGGGTGGGCAAAGAGGTTTTTCATTTCATCTGCGCGTTTCCGCTGGGAGGCAGGACGGATGAATATTTGGGGAACGGACAGGAGAGACGTAATAGAGAGGATCTCATTGGAACAGTAGAATTCTGGAGAGCTGATCAACATCACTGCCAGAGCTGGGTCCAATGGGAATTCGGATGCAAGGCGACCTAGGGGCGTAAGATCTCCTTCGTCATTCAAACAAGCTAGATAGTTTAATTCCTCTAGCGCTCGCATGAGAGTTTCGGGGGCAGGAGGATCCATAAGGTCGAAGTGAACCAGGTCGTCAATTCCAAGCTTCTTCAGGTCCAACACAGTCGAGGACAAGTTGGAACGGAGAATTTCTGGATACGTCTGCTCGATAAGTTCCTTTTTGAACGCGCTCTCGGTATACAATCTGAAACATTTTCCGGGACGTGTACGACCAGCACGGCCAGCCCGCTGCTGCGCAGATGCTTTAGAAATTGGTGACACCAGCAAGGACTCGACTCGAATGCGTGGGTTATAAACTTTCTGCTTTGAAAATCCTGGGTCGACCACATACACAATACCATCGATGGTAAGAGATGTTTCTGCGATGTTAGTCGACACGATACACTTCCGTCCGGGTCGTCCTCCTTCCTTACGAGGTGGCGGGGGAGGGTCAAAAATGCGCTGCTGTTGCGCTGGAGGTAGGCTCCCATAGAGAGGGTATACCTTCATGGGCCCTGCATCGGCTTCTCGAATCATCTCATCTACCTCAAGAGATATTTTGCGCACAGAGTCTTCGATCTCCTCCTCCCCGGTCAGGAATAGGAGTATATCACCTTCCGGTTCATTGGCGTGAATTTGCAAAACGGTACGAATCGCAGCCTCTACGTAATCTTGTTCCGGCTCTGGGGTGTAAAAGATTTCGACAGGGTGGGTTCGTCCACGGACCGCGAGGAGTGGCGCATCACCAAAGTACCGTTGGAATTTCTGGGCGTCCAACGTGGCAGACATGATAATTAATTTGAGATCTGGGCGGCGCTGACCGACTTCTTTAAGGAGACCCATGAGCACATCGGTAGCCATCGTTCTCTCGTGGGCTTCGTCCAAAATGATGGTGCTGTAGCGTGTAAGATCGTGGTCATGCATCGCTTCCCTCAATAACATACCGTCCGTCATATACTTCAGGATGGTTTTCTGACTCGTCATATCCTCAAAGCGAATACTGTAACCGACTTCCTCGCCAAGCTTAACATCCATCTCTGCTGCAACTCGCTCCGCAACTGACATGGCGGCAACTCGCCGGGGTTGGGTACACGCTACAAGCTTGCCTCGCTTTTGCGGAAGATCGTCGAAGAGCACGAACTGAGGGATCTGGGTGGTCTTGCCTGAACCGGTCTCGCCGACGAAGACGAGGATTTGGGATTTCTGGGTAGAGGTGTAAGAATTCATCCCTACAGCAAATATTATCATTAGCTAGGCGAAATGTCGTGAATGAGGGGGATCAAATCGCATACCTTTGAGCATGAACTGGTAGATCCCTTCGTGTTTTTAAAATCGAAAAGTATTTGCTTGAGAGCGCTTTACCATTGAAAGGATTCAGTAAAGAATCCTCCGCCTCTTTAGCCATAGCAGCTGTTGTTTCGTGGCGCTTAAATCGGTCAAGGATCGAACCCTCAGTAGCATTGCCATTTGCTGGCGTTTCGTCTTCATACCAATGCGCAAGGTACTTATTCTGTCGAGGATCCATGTCTGCGGTCTGGGTTTTCTGTCTCTTTTTCGCACGAGCAACACTGTCGCCGTCAGGGCGATGGTCCGCCATAGTCGTCAGTGGCAATGCGGTGGGTTCTCGAGGGGTGTGCAGGGTGAGGTTTGAAGCTGAAGCTTGTGTCAAAAAAAAGATTGCACGGACACAAAAAAAAAAGGAAATTTTAGCCGACTCCACGCTCGCCTAAAACTTCCCCGCCTAAGATCACCCAAAAAATTCTTGGAGGACAAACATCTTCGACTTCAACTTCATCGAGGTAAAAACCCTGTGGATTGTCGCTCCTTTCCTCCGCTCCGTCGATGTATATTGCTCTTGCACATGGGCTGAAGTGCAATTGAATCATAATGCATGTTTGATTTTTGCCTAACATTGCATTTCTCAGACCTGTTTTCATGCGCCCATCGACTACCCCTCCAGTTGATTGAGTGAAGCTGCAAGTTCTTAATGTTTCGGTTTAGATATTTGTGAATTTTTCTTTCTCTCCCACTTTTCTCTTAAATATCTTCAACTTTTGCAGTGTACCGAGCTCTATGCGCTCTGCTCACCCTATTACTAAACGCCCTGACTTGTACCCTGCCGCTGTGCGGTGGTTGCAAGTATGGAGTCACAAGATGATTTGGCCCCAACCTTTTGTATTGGACAACATGAAACTCGGCGCACTGTGCCAGTATCGCCTCAACTAGTCCAGTTGGCGCAAGAGGGTAATGTACGTATATCAGCGAATACATGTTTTTGCGCCTCTGCAAATTGCTAATGGCCTTCCTAGTATGATCTACTCACAACCCCCATCACGACTCCTCTTTTCCATTCCCGCGTCCTTACGCTGCTTTCTACCCACCTATCTGACTCGCGCCCACCTGTTCTCGACCCGACTTTAACTTTGGGAACGTCACATAATACTAGTCCTGTGACGGTCCCGCCACTTTCACCAGAAGATACTTTCTTGACGCCAAATGAGTCCACAAGCCAGTTGGTTGGTGTCACTAGTCCTTGGATAGATCTCTGTTCTCCAGATCCTTTGATAGCAGACATATCTCGCCAAGTATTGAACCTGGAGGTCGCCTACGCTGCGTTTTGCGGCGTCAGTTTCGTTATCATCCCAGGCCCAAGATTGCACCATGGAAATGTGCACGGGGAAGGTCTGATGTATTATGCTCGCGCAGTTCAGGATATTTTGAATATCGGGCTTTATATCCAAGTGCATATCTGGTTTGGTATGGTAGATATCCCGGATCTGGAAACTAGCAATGTTGGTGACCTCGCCCCCTTTGCTAGAGCGGATTATCTTATTGTAGGAAACTACTCACCCACCAAGGTGGACTTATTTGGTACTTGGGAAGCTTGGGACGTTATCAGGAAAATAAAATAAATATCATTCGAGACTTTTCGTAGGTAAGAATAAAAACAATCTCTG